CCGCCCCGCCCCCTCCCTCCGCGCACGCGCCGCCCTGTAACGCGCGGAGCGTAAACAAAGCGGTGCATTCTGGGAAGAGGGAATCGTTACGTGCAGGAAGAGGGAGTCTCCATCTTAGGCGCTCGAAGCGTCGCGGCGGCATGGCGGCTGATAGCCGGGAGGAAAAAGGTACTGGGGTGGGGGCAGTGGTTAGGCTCTGGGGAGGGGGGATGGCCCAGGTAGGCCCCTCCCGCCTAAGCCATTCCTCTCCCCCCTCCCAGCCCGCCTCCTCTGCCTGAGGCCTGCTTGGATGCTGGTGCTGGGCCTTCACTCTGGGAGACGTCTGTGAGGAGAGCGGAGGGGCTCGCCGGTGGGGCCGGGAGGTCCTCTTCGAGAACGATTTTCGTAGTCTTTAGACGTGGCGTGTGGGGAAGTGCTCCCTGTTGTGTGCTGGGGTGCTGGAGGCGATAGGGCCATCGTGCCGTAACGTGATGCCCTGGCGGCAGCGGGCCTGGGGCAAGGTGACTTGGACAGTGGAAATTAGAAGTAAGTTTGTAGGCCATCAGTTTAACGTTTTTAGCAGTGAATTACTGCTGCTTCTTGCAGAAAGTATTTGCTTTTCTTTAATTCTGTTTGCATCCCTAGCCGTATTTTTACAGGATTTTCTGCTGAGGGACGTAGTTACTTTAGCAATCAGAAGCTGACGTTTGAATGCAATTCTTGTGGTGTTTGCTCGGCTTTTTGCAGTCAGTTATGCTTTCTGGGCACTGTGGGTAAATAAGTTTGAATTAAAGGAATTAAACGTTTGCGGGGTAACGTATATTCACAGGTCTTACAACTGCTTGTCAGTGTACATGGAAGCTGAAGTGATCCGCATGTTGCCTATAAGGTTATATGAGTTAGTCCTTGCAAAATAGCCTATCTAAGAATTAGAAACAAAGTTTAGATGGAGAAGATTGCTGTTATCTGCACTAACCACCAAAAAGCAAAGTTATAAAAAAGGTAAAGGGTCACTGTGGTGTTGTGGTTTAGTTTAGATTGTTTTGGATTTCTATGGAATACTTTTCATGAAAAGTTTTTGCAGGATAAAATGTCTTTTACAGAGTGGTGGAAGTTTGTTGTCTCTAATATTTATTGTGAAACTAGATCACATGGAGAAGTCCCACTGGATTTTTAAAAAACTGATAAGTAAAATTATTTCAGGTGTTTGATTCTTAACGTTGTTATTGTAAGACTGGTGGGATGGGATACGATCAGGTTGTGTTGAAACAGAGGTGATGTGCCACCATGGATAAACAGTGAAATTGGAATGTTTACTATTGTCATCTATAAATTTCTACTTGTATATTCATTTATCCGGATGGGCTTGAATTTTTTTATTCTTTGGGGGTGGGGGTGTTGTTTAAATTACTAGCAGTGGTCAAGTCATGAGTAGCAGACAAGAAATGTTTCTCTATTTCTTATTTTAATTTGCTTTTAGTTTTCTGTCCTATGAAAGGGATGATTCTGACCGATGCACATTGGTTTGTAACTGAACTTATTTCTACTGTAAATGCAACGTTATTTTTATGTTCCTTTTGGAAGAGAATTGCTATTTCACTGCTTTAAAAAAGTGGAAATAAGTCTTGCATACCCTTTTAGTTTGAAATTGCCTGGTCTTACCTCCTTTGCTTGCCAAATCAGATTTTTGCTTGGACCCTTCCCTGAATAGATTTAACAGCTACAGCCAGCAGAGGAAAAATGACCTCCCCAGGTTACTTCCCTGCTGTTTCAGTTGAGTTAAATTTATTCGTGGTAGGATCCAACACACACGCCTTGAATCAATGAAAGATGAGTTGCAGGAGACCCCAGTTGGGAGTGTCTGTAATGAAAAAGACTTATTTGGACCTTCCTCCTTCAGCAGTGATGAACTGTAAGAAATCTGGCCTCTACCGGTTTTTCTGTGTATCTTTTTGTGCTTCTTGATGCTTATCTTGATCCGGGAGATAATTCAGCTTACCAGGTTGAACACTAAGTGACAGTTCAGTGGGTGGAGTCATCTTGTGGAAGTCAGTCGGTCAAGTGAGAGATGGGAACTGTGTATTCAGATTGCCCTTTTTGCATCACCAGACTACTAAATAAATCTGGAAATTTATTTTTAAATAAATCCAATAGATGTATCTACAGAAAGGGGTGTGAGGGGAACTCATCCTGCTCGTGTCTTTCCCGTACTTGTTTAAGGTTCCAACTATACATCAGGCCCACTTAAACTGGAAGGGATTCATCAAACAGTATGTGTCAGACTTGCTTATTCCATTAAATTTTCCTTATTTTCTCTTTTGTTTCTGAACCAGCTGATAGATGGGTCTTTAAGCACATCTAAATGCTACTGCAGTAGCTAGGTGAAAGTTAGTTTACTCAAGTATGCTGTTGCCTCACCAGAAGGGGAGCAAAACTAAGGTTCAATACATGTAATCTGAGATGAGTGATATATTTAATATTCTAATCCTAGTGCGCATCTTTTTTGTTAGTCTCCAGTAAAAAAATCTCGTTCTTTGAACTTGCCTGGTCTTCCATGGGGAAGCATAATGCAAGCCAGGAAATTGCGGCCTGCGTTTAGCAGTTGAACAGCCATGAATCTGACTTCTGTATCTTATTGGTAACAGCAAGAATATTTGCTGTGCATATATAGGTATCTACATACACAAAGGGAGGTACCCAAGAGAATTATGGTGTAGCTTCATGTTATATTTAAATGCCCTCTAACTGTAAACTGCCAGGGAAAGGCTTGTTCCACCTCTCTACTGCTTCCTTTTGCATCAGCTACAGCAGTTGTTCAGTTCAGTCTATATTTTTCCCTACCACAGAAAATGTGGAGAAATGCCAGCAGGAAAGCTAGCACACATGCTGGCTTCGGATTCAGTAGTATATACTAGAGATACAATTATAGTACTACCTTTTTTTTCTCGTACAGATTGTGCCTTTCATTAATAACAAGCTGTAAAACTTCTATTGTGGCACAGCTCAAGATTTTGAGGTAGATAGACAAGTTGCCAAACTCTGGAGAATTTCGTTTGCTGGCTTACCCTGATCTTGTCCAGTACAGGAGTTCTTACCTGCTGCTTTATTATGTTGTACAATGTGTCTTCTATAGATACTGTTAACTAGCTGAATCCTTGGAGTTTGCTCTGCTTTCCTATTCTTGAACACAGAAAGTAGAGTCAGTCGTAGCAATATAAAGTGAAAAGAGCTAAGAATTTCAGAGTTTAGGAGAAGTATGAGATTCCAAAATTAATATATTTTCTATTATTTTTCCCTTTGCATGCTTGGTCTTACTTCACTCTTTTTATTGCTTGAAATGTAGATCTACTGCCTTTAAGCTGGTGAATCCTTTGCAAGCAAAGTGAAACAGTCAGAAACAGTGACAAATTTTAAAAGTTGTGTGACCAAGTGTGGTCATTTACTGCTTCTAGCATGAATTTCCTTAAACTTTTACCCTTTCACCAACGTGAATTAGTTGTAGTTTTTTTCAGAACAGCTCAGAATGAATTATGCAGCAAATAAGTACTACTTTTCCCTTCTTCAGTGGGGTGACCTAGCTCACGCTCTTGCTAACTTTCCCTGTTGCATTTTTTTTCTACTTGTAAGTGAACCACAAAACTCACCCTTCTAATGCAGCGATGACAAGAAAAATAATGGAGTAGGAATGGAGGTATTTTAAGGTGCAAGATCTTTAGGATTTTGAGATGAGAGGTCACTCCTCTTTGCTTATGGCACTCCGAGTATCTCCTAGTCTCCTTTATCTCAAATATTGTACAGGCTTTTTCATTAATCTTTCATTTGTAGGTCAGCTTTTCTGCAAAGCTTGTATGACATGAGGAGCCAACTTGGACCTTATTCAGAGGCCTAAATGCATCCTGTGACGTATTTTAATTCTTTAATGCGCTTTGTTAGATCCTTACAACTGAAATTGTGGAAATAAATCAAGAGGATGTTAATTGTTGCCTTGTGGCAGATCTGTAACCCTAAAGCAAATGTTTGGGCTTGTAAATAGTACTTCTACTGTAGTTTACATATCTGGACTTTTTATAATTATTTTTAACTTTGTTTTTAGATGGTGAACTGAATGTTCTGGATGACATTTTGACTGATGCTCCTGATCAAGATGATGAGTTGTATAACCCTGACAGCGAGCAAGATAAAAGTGAGAAAAAGGGTAGGTGACTTTGGTAGTAGATATCCTGTGGGCATGTAAATGGTAAAAACCAGTTTCTTATTAGGGTTAAAGTCTTTGAAGTAGTGACTCCTATAACCAGATTCAAAGAGTGAAGGAGTTCCAAAAGTCTCTATTTCTTGGACACCTGCTTTTCCACCTGACCTTCCAAGCACACAGTTAACTAGGTTTCCTTTTGTCTCAAAAGCAATTGCTGAGTCTGGCTAGTTGGGAATTCACTTGCTGTTGCATGATGACTGTGAAGTAGAAATGGAGCAAGGGGGTCCCATAAGTCTGGTTCCAGCTCAGTTCCTGATTCGGCTTTAGGTCAATCCCATAAGCATTTAATTTAGCATTCCCATATATAAAATTTAGCAAACGCCTATGAAAGCCTAAAAGATTGCTCTTTTAAAGTAAAATGTATGTTTTAGAACAGGAGCTGTTGCTAACGAGTAGTTTTGAGTGTTGTTGGAAAGCCTGCAAGTGGAAGATGCTACCTATGACTGCCACAGGGAAATTAACCAAAGTAGAGAAACTAGGAACCTCTGCACAGCTTTTGGATTGATACACAGAATAACATTGAACTTGGTATCTCTTTCTATTTAAGGATCAAAAAGAAAAACTGACAGGATGGAAAACGCTGAAAACAAGAGACAGAAACCTTCTGTGCATTCATCAAGGCAGATGATGCCAAAGCCTCCTAGTTCATCAGTTAGCAATAACAAGAGAATAGTGAGTACGAAAGGAAAACCAGTATCAGAATACAAGAATGAGGAGTACCAGAGGTCCGATAGAAACAAGCGCCCAGATGGTGATCGAAAGACGCGCATGTCAAGCAGTTCCAGGGAACCTTATAAAGGACAACCAGACAAAACTTGCATGAGGAAGAGGGATATTGACAGAAGGGCGAAGTCTTCTACACCAGATGGTTCAGAGGTATTAAATATTCTTGCTGCCTTATAAATAGAGCAATTATATGAGACTTTTATAAGGCACATTCTCTTAGGACTGTGTGTGCATCCTGACAGTGTTATATGACCGCTGATTCACTTTTTCTTTAAACATCAGAGAATCAGGCATGATGTGGATAGAAGACCAAGCAGATCCAGCCACTCTTCTAAAGAAGAGGTGAACTCTGAGGAATATTGTTCAGATCACGAGACTGGCAGTAGTGGTTCCTCTGAACAAGGCAATACAGAGAACGAGGAGGAAGGAATGGAAGAAGAGGAAGATGATGAAGGGGAGGAGGATGAAGAGGTGGAAGAGGATGGGGAGGAGGATGAAGAAGAATATGAACAGGATGAACGAGATCAGAAGGAAGGAAATGACTATGACACACGAAGTGAAGCCAGCGATTCTGATTCTGAATCTGCCTCTTTCACAGATGGATCAGTCAGATCTGGATCTGGTTCAGATGCATCAGGTAGGTAACACAAAATGCCTTGCTATTGAAAGCTCGGGTGCTTTTAAAAATAACCACTTCCTGACTATGTCAAAAGTAAGCCTTAGTAGCACAAGTCAGTAAGATATTAATTATAAAATATAGGCCAAAAAAAGGAAAAAAAAAATCTACTGAAAAGTGGTATTTCCTTACACCAAAACTTGTGAATATCATCAGTATTACCATGCTGAGGATTAATAGTGTTCTTGATTGCTTTGTCCTTGCTGTTCAATGCTTTGAAATGTCTGAATTAGTATTTTCTTAGGTATCTAATGGCATCCTTTCTCATACGATTAATTTCATGTTGGTGTTGAGCTGTTCTGTATTCATCCTGATGAGTGACCAGGCAGACTGGTGTAGTAGAAACACCATCTCCCGAGGGAAGGATAGTTGAGTCTTAACTAGCGGCTGCCTTTAGCATAGGGAATCTAAACCTAAGTTGAAACTATTAGCTATTAGAGCAAACTTAGAGAAATGCTTTAAGCAGAAACTAGAAACAGATGCTTCACAGTTGTATATTACTGGTCCTTACTTACAGATGTGAAGCATTAATGACGTAAATGCTTTTGAGTTTGACTGTTTAGTTTTGTTTGGGTTTTGGGGTGGGGTTTTTTTGAGAACGTGGCTTGCAATCCTGTTAAGATTCTTGTGTATCTTCCTTGTCTGAAATCTCCATAGGTGGTCATCCTGTTTAATGCCTATTTTGGCTTAGTTCTGCTGTTAGGAATTAGAGAATAGAAAAGTGTAACCTAAAGACAAGCTGTAATAACTGTTCTAAAAAGCTCTATAGTATAACCCTTTTAAGAATGGAAGTAGTTGCCTGTGTGCCACGGTGTTTTCTTTTCGTACTTCCTGCCATTTTGTTGAGCTCCGAGTGAATGAGCCTCTATCACTGTTGCGACACAGTTTGTTCTCTGTGTTGCAAATTGGCTGAAGGCTGGAGAGAAAAGCTAAAACACCTAGAAGATAAATTGTCTCTCAAAACTTTGCAGGAATTACTAGATTTGTGGCATTTGTCTTCCTTTTGTGAATGAAAAGCTTAAGTAATTAGTATTTACTTTGTCCGTGATAGTTCTGGGGCAGCAACCACAATTTTCATGTGCAAGCCAAATGCTAACTTCGCTATTATAGATGTTATTTTCCTGTCTCGGTGCTTTTTATCTCAATTCTACCTGCCACTTGATATTTGTTATGTTTTGGGGTTTTTTTTAGATGAGAAAAAGAAGGAAAGGAAGAGAGCTAGAGGTATCTCTCCGATTGTTTTTGACAGAAGTGGAAGTTCTGCATCAGAATCATATGCAGGTATACTTTCCTTTTATTGCTTGTCATTCTGACTTGCATCAAATCTTAATGTGTAATCTAAAATAAATGTAACTGGCTGTAGAGATTTATGGGATATGTAGCTTTGTATAATTTGGTATTGACTTCTGGCATGTTGTGTGTGGATACCTTTGGGGGGAAGTAGGCTTTCTTGTTACTTTAATGCTATTCTGTTGCTTAAGTGAAATTTTCACTTTTTTTTTTTTAACTTGGAAGATGATGATTCAGTGACTAGTTTTCTGAGTAGGAAATTGTTCAAATACTATTTTAAAAAAACAAACCCAAACCAAACAACCCAAAAACAAAACCAAAAAACCAAAACAAAACACTCGTGCACATTGAATAGTATTTTTTTGTGTGTGTGGGTGCGCGCTAGAAAGCATAATTTGTCATGAATGAAAATTGTATGTGACAAGGCTGTAGAAATTGTATATTATCTCTATTAAGGCTCAATCTGAACAAATGTACTTTGGCTAAACACAGGTTCAGAAAAGAAGCATGAGAAATTATCATCTTCCGTTCGTGCTGTCCAAAAAGGTATCATTTAAATTTGAATTTTTAATGCATGCCCCATAGCAAGCCATCGTCTCTGTTCATTAAATTACCTGTAAGTAGTAATGTTCCGATATAAATCACTTTGAGCGCGTAATTGTTCTGAGCATAACGAGTGAATCTTGATTTTGCACTTGTTTAGAGCAATATGCAAAAAGTTCAGTCACTTTGCTCCTTGCAGAGGTGGCAAAGCAAAAAATAAAGTGCTTACATCTGAAAAGAGGAACATTTCAGCATTCTCTGTTGGGCCACTCATGCTGATACAAATGTTACCCAGTATTTATCCAAAGATTCTTAAGAGAGAAAATAAGTCCTGTATATCGGAACATCACTGAATCATGCTGATATTATTTTTTTTTTCTTTATCTGAATATTATAAGTTTTAGTTTTGATTTGGTTTCCCCTGGCATTTTGTGCTCTACAGCTTATGCTGCAAGTTGGGTGGTTGACTGTGATAATACATAGGTAGGAACTGGGTGGGTTACAGTGTATTTTGAAGGAAGCAACTACCTACACTCAAAACAATGTTTTTGACAACTATAAATATTTACAGTTCAGCTTATTTGACACTTTGTTTTTTTCAGACCAAACAAGTAAACTTAAATACATTCTCCAAGATGCAAGATTCTTTCTCATCAAGAGTAATAACCATGAAAATGTATCACTTGCTAAAGCAAAGGTATGTTGAATTTTTTTCAAACTGATCACTTAGTCTATTTTTAGACACACCCACCTTACTATAGAAAAGCATATAGATAGATACATTCTTATCTCCATCGCTCAGATCTTGAAAGGATGAAAGCTATTGTTCCTTGATTTTTCAAGGGTAGCTATTCTGCTTCCACTGTAACCTGGAAAAGTTTCTAGACCATCAGTCATTTATCTTGATAAGAGTAGGTTAAAAAGGGGCTTCAAGGTCTGTTTGATAATGTCCTAAGTCAGACTCTATTGGGAATGCTGTGATGGTATTTTCTCCCTTTCATCAGTACCTGTGTTCATATCGCTGTACTGTGAGGAGGTTCAGGTTATTTTGGCTTTCATCCAATGCTATAACAGTAATTTTTTTCAGTTGATTCAGGGATGTAAAGCCATATTGCAGAAATGTGTGCTTGGCAGTGCTGATGTAAGGGAGTTTTTTGGGAGGGTTTCCAGTGCGCTGGTCTTCAGCTGCTGAGGAATGGCGCTAGGCCACTCTGGTGGTTTTGTATTTGCTTGTGTTATTTGGAACAGCTTGTAGAGAAAATAGATGATTTACTGTTATACAATATACACAAAGTAGGTGATTATATTAATGAATGCTTTCTAAAATAGAATAGCTTTAAAACGATTAAATGAATCTTAAAATTCCGGGATAGGTTTGCCCCCGCCTTCCCCCTCCACTTTGGGTCTAATCTGTGCAGTGCACACCATTCTGACTGGTGTTTGCTTCAGCTCTCTAGAGGAGTGTATGCTTTCTGTGCCTCATCCACCCTTGGGGCTGCAACAGCATCCTTGTTCCTGAATTTCTTGGAGTGGTTGCTTTGTCTCTCTGTGTACAGGCATCAGTGCTTTGCCACTTCACTTTCATGGAACTGGCTTTTGTGATTCCAGTGTAGTAAGTTGTTCTAGTTCACAGAAGGGTTTCACAAACAGCCTAAAGCAATATACATCTGACTGAAAGCTTGTAAAAAAAACCCAAATACTTCTCTGGTGACTAATGAATTGTCAGTCAGGCAAACACTAAGCTGAACACAGAGTAGGACATGAGAACATATCTAGAATAAAAAAGGAAGGGATGTTTTCTTTGATAGATCCTAGATCATATTCTGAAGTCTGAACATATTAAACCAGAATAAGCTTTTCCTCTGAGTTTTCCTAGAATGGACTGGGGAGTTAAACTTAAAATGAAAAGTTATGCTGCAGACTGGTATTCTATAGCTCAGCTCAGTTTGGTACCTTAAAACAAATAGGGTTTTATTGTGCATGGCTATGCAATGGCTGTTGAAAGGGAAAAGGTAGGAATTAGTAAGTGGGGATGTGAGAGGCTGGGATGTTTTAAGCTGTCTTGCCAATTTAAAATGTTGGTCTGGTGTCTTTCATGTTTCTGGCCTTTCATTAAAAGAGTTTTAAAGTCTGCAAACTGTCCTGAACAAGTCTGTCAAACTAAGAAGGCTACTGAAGTCCACCTGCCCACCTTTCAGTATATATGCTGCCGGTTTTTCGTAATTTGTTTGTACTATATAATACATGACTCCTAAAGTCATACATTAAAAATACTAAATGCAAAGGTTTTCATGTATCTGTCCATCATTGTAATTATAAATGAAGCCTTATAGATGGACTAAATGCATCTGCAGTGATCAAAAAAGATTGAAAGGCCAGTGTTTTAAAAGTTTTATCATAGGGCAGGCTAAAAGTATTTTCTGAAGGAAGTGAATTTAGCAATACTGTTCTCTTCCCATTATCTTCTGTCCCAGAACGCTAGTCTAGTCTTGTTTTCCTGATCTGTACTATATACTTCTGCTAACTCAATCACTTGAGATGAACTCTTATATTTTGGTGGTGGGGTGGGGGTTGTTTTGTTTCAGGGAGTATGGTCGACACTTCCAGTGAATGAAAAGAAGCTTAATGCTGCATTTAGATCAGCGAGGAGTGTTATTTTGATATTTTCTGTAAGAGAGAGTGGCAAATTCCAAGGTAAGGAAAGTGAGCTATTACCAAGGTAAGTAAGTGAAAGTGAGTTTTATGTGCAGTAGTTTTTCTGTTGTGCCTTTGTTACAATTAATGTGAAATCCTTTAGGATTTGCAAGACTGTCTTCAGAGTCCCATCATGGAGGATCACCTATACACTGGGTGCTACCTGCAGGAATGAATGCAAAAATGTTGGGAGGTGTCTTTAAAATTGACTGGATTTGCAGGTAAATAATGGTTCATTTATGTTGCTGTTTAGTTACAAGACATTAAAATACCATTTCTGTGCATTGCTCACTCAAGTGTTGACAGCATCCTTTTGAAAATTCAATTCAATCGGAGATCTGTTTGCCAATTTCCCCACATCAATGCCTCCGTGTTACTGAGGATTCGGGTCTGTTCCTGTCTTAATTTTTTTTCAATGTAGAGAGTTAATGTAGAGAATGAATTAATTTAGAGCTTTTTAAAACTTGATTGTGTTTCTTCACTGATCTCTTGCACTGATACCAGAAAACTGTATTCTCAAAAACTGCTCACTTGAATAGGCAGCTGTGGATAAGAGAGGAAAAAATCCTGTATTCATCTGATGTCTTGGCATCTGGCTGAAAAAAGAAAATGTGACTGCTCTAAAATAACATATGAAATAGTTCAGATATTTTGCATAACATACAGGTTGTGAGCAGTATCTTCACTGATTTAACTGAGTATGTCTTAGAGAAGAGGTTTCAAATCTCTCTTAAGAAAAAGATCTATATCAATCCTGTGAAATATATTTCATGGTTGTACAAGCACTTTGGGCTGCCAAAAAGACTAAATACAGGGAAGGTAAGACTTTGAATTAGAGAAAAATCTAGGTCAGAAAGGTGTTCTGGAAGTTACTCCCACCTGCAGCTCAAAGTGGTTCATAGTTAGGTCAGATGCTCAGGGATTTATTTCAGTAGGTACCATGAGCTACCACCTCACGTAGAGACTGGTCAGCATATTCAGATGGTGAGATAATAAGCAAGCATGATCTTGATATTTTACAAAGACTAAAAAAATATCTTTAATAAGATAGACTTATCATAGCATGGACTATACAAGTTAATATTGGAATAGGTCAAAGTGAAATCTTCAGTTACTAATACGTTCATTCAGAGACCTGACAGTGCAAAGGGTAACAGGATTATTTTGTATGTAATGGCCTGCTTTATGCGTTTTAAATTTAAAAAAAAAAAAAAAAATGGAAGCAAAACTATAAATGATGCCACTTGCATATTTAGGCGTGAATTGCCGTTCACTAAGTCTGCTCACCTGACCAATCCTTGGAATGAACATAAGCCAGTAAAGATTGGACGCGATGGACAGGTTTGTTAATTTATTTTTTTTTCTATAACCCACATCTTCTAGTGCTTGCTTTCAGCTTTATATGTACAGAAGGTTTGGAATCTTTTTAGCTCACTTGTTACTTGCCATAGAGTACTGTGACAAAGGCACTCAGCTTATTTCTGATGTTGCCAAAGAAGAAAATGGAAAACAATACAGTAACAATTCTGTTGTCATCTTTGTGATTAAACAGTGTTTGATGCTTCAAAACTATGTGATATTTTGGATTTGAAATGTAACGTGCCTTGCATTGTATGGTGTGCAGCCTTAAGTAGCATCAGTTTTTTAGAACAAGTTCTGGTGTTTTCAGCTGTGTTCTGTGTTGCTTTATATATATATATATATATACATACACACACATATACACATACACACACACACTGTATTGCTTAGAGCACAGACTCTACCATTATAAAGTATATGCTAAGGAAAGTTTAAGTGGGGTGGCTCTTTGTCTTGTCAGACATAGCAGGGTACCGGTATGTTGCTGCTGCCATCAAGTAACCCATCCTTGACTAAAATAATGGGTTCTGCTTTCTTAAGGCAAGATGGGAGTTACATAATCCCCATACTTTATGGAAGAATGGAGACGGTGCATTATTTTGCACACAGGCCATTCACTTTTGGAAACAGAAGTAAAACAATATTTTTGGTCTTGTTTTCAATTTAGTGTGAACTTTTTTTTAAAAAAAAAAGGTATTTCAGTTAGCTTTTGTTTCTGTTATATGGTCAGGGAAATAAATTTTTTAATGTTTTGTCCACTTCACTACAGAGTTGCAATCCAGATGTGAGTTTCATCTTTTTTCATAAAATTGCTGTACTGTTAAGTACTGGGCAAGCGTTGTTTGATGCTTGCTCTCCCTGCTTTTCAACTCAGGTTATTTCCTGAAGGGGTTGTCATTTATCCATATAAATTTTGTGTAACCCTGAATGGATCTGAGGATGTACACTGAGCTGCTTGCATTTACGACATCCTTTGTAAAAGGTGTTCTGCTGCCCTGCTAGTCACCAGGTTGAAGAAGCACTTTTTTGGATTGTTTTGTACATGGCTCCTGCTAGCTTCACTGATGGCCTGGGTTCTTGTACCGGAAGAGGGAGTCAACAAGTTGATCTCTGTCTCTCTCTCCTCCAGACAACTCATGTTGGATGCTCCCATTGTATCCGTCTTGTCCCCTGTACCCCATATATTCCTCTTTTATTCTAGGCTGGAGAGACTCGACCTGCTCAGTCGTTGCATGTAGAAATTGTTGCACTCATTCATTTATCCTTGGTGCCCAGCTTTTAAGCTTTTCATTTCTACTGTCCCCCTATTTTTTGAGATGCAGGGGTCAGAACTGCACCCAGTATTTTGGATGTAGGTGGAACATGGACTTTCAGTGTGGTATAATGACTTTCTCATCCTGTGTTCCTTTCCTGATAATCCTGAACACACAATTTGCTTGTTTTGACTGCTGTCAAGCATTGAGCTGGTATTTTCATGGACCTGTCTTCATACACTGAAGAACTCCCTTTTGAGTGGTAATAGTCAACATCATCAGGCCATGGCTTTATATGTGAAGCTGGGATGGATTTTTTTTCCTACCTGTGTCGCTTTTCTCTCTGTAATAGGTGATCATTTTCTTTGTGATGAAAAACAGTCCTCTGATTTTGTAGCAAAACACTGATGTGGCCTGTATGTATCATGGGAAGATATTGGTTGCCCCAAGTGTTGGACTATTTTATGAAAATTCTAAGTAGTGCCTAAAGAGTGAAAGGTAATGTAAGTGAATTTTGCTCTGTCTCTAGTGATACTGAAATCTCTTCAAAGTGTCGGGGTTTTTTTTTTTGGTTTTTTAATGTATGTTGTCGATGTATTTGGGGAGAGTTACATTTCTTCAGTTTATAAACCACTACTGAACTTCTAACTAATTCTAGGAAATTGAGCCGGAATGTGGAACCCAACTTTGTCTTCTCTTCCCTCCCGATGAAAGTATTGACTTGTATCAAGTCATTCATAAAATGAGGCACAAGAGAAGAATGCATTCACAACCCCGATCAAGAGGACGCCCATCCCGTCGAGACCCCGTTCGGGACGTGGGAAGGTTAGAAACGTTCTTTGGACTGATAATAAGCACATGTATCAGAATAACGTGATGGAGGAATATGATTCGTCAAAGCTTTCCCTGCGATAAAGAAGAGAGAAAATCCTCAAATCAAGCTGCATGGACAAGTTTGTGGCTTCATTGAGGATTTCACATGGTTCCCCGGTCTGTCATTTTTCAAGAGGAAAATGGGGATCTTTGCTTTTGCAGAAAAAAGCTCTTAAAGTGCTGTCTAGTTTAGACTAGATTATTTATTGAGCTAATGCAACGTGTAATGCTAGCTGTAGGTAAGCTTGGCTTGATTATGAGCAGGCTAGATGGAGAGGAGAAAATATTTATATGCCAAAAATGTGTTAATATCTTGTAAAAGCCTTTTCTTTCAGGTGTGTCTCTGGATAAGCCTTATCAAATATGGGACTTTTATAAGGATCACTTAGAATTTTGCAGAAGATGCCGCCTCATTTTGAGGATAAAATATTTAAGTTATTTGATATTCAAGAGGAGCATTATTGGGACTGTTTCAAATTGTGTCACCGTGATGTGTTAACCCCATTGCCAAATATTCTCTAACATGTAACCACTGAATTCACACATCTTGCTGAGCTTCTGAAAACAGTAGGTTCTTTCCAAAAGGGATCAAGTGGCCCTTGGAGACCCGGCAACAAACCAAAAAGAATGGCTGTTGCTGTGTCTGTATATACAACCTTTCCAGATGCTGGCAGTACCTGTGGACTTAAAGTATTTTTAGAGGATCGACATGGTTATTGATCACTGCTATATGAACTTAACATCATTTTCCAGAAAAAAAGGGGGGATAACTTGTTACAGAATTGGAGAAGTCTTTGCAAAGAACTGATATTAGCCCTTCTGCCAAACACCTTTTCCCCGTGTAGCCACTTTGCATACAGACTGATGTATGGTTTGGGCTGAAACCTATGGTTAAGTTTCCTTTTTGTGGAAACATCCTGTGGTAGGTACAGATACCCAACAAGAGTCCCCATTTCCTTGAGCTTAAAAAAAGGACATTGTAACAAGTAGGTAGGAGGAAACCTGGCAGCGCCCCCCCATTTTTGGCTTTAAAGGACTGAACACCAAGATGGCTTTTGAAGTAAAGCTAAGAGATTTCCAGTGCAATAAAGTATATACAAGTGAAGGTTTTGCAATGGACTGCAAACTATACATATAACACCACCACACCTTCTCAAGCCTGCCAGGGCCTCCATTTATGTATGTGGCTTACAGCTTAAAGTCAGTAGTTGGACTACTATATGAACTGTTTCTATCATATATTATACCGGTCGTAAATGCACTCTCAAAACTACAAGAAAGCGGTATGTTTATTCTTTACACCAGCTTTTATTTTCCTTGATCTGATTTTGCTGTAGATGCAACTGCTTTGGTTTTTGGGCTTTTTGCTCATAGTAAAGAATCTTCTTTCATTTTAAAAAACTTAGTAACTGGGTATAGTGGGCTTTAAAGACTGAAGTTGGGAAGGGGGAGGAGAAATTACTCTATAAAACTAAAAGCTACATGAGCTTCTTACTCGGTGAGCAAGTTGCACAGTAATTAAGTGATTTAAGAAAGTGTTAATTTCTTGTCATAAGAATTTATATTGCTGGGGTGGGGGGAAGGGAATGGATTTGTAGCTGCTTTGTGCTTAGAAACACTGTTATGTTAGTGTTGGGAGCCTCCCATTAATGTTTATGTACCTTGGTGGAGCAAAATTAGAAGTCAGATTTCTGTTCTTTATTAACATAACAGCAAGTGGAATGTAACTGTTTTATACTCAAACTTCCTCCCCAAGAGCGAAGTTCTTTAAAAAAAAAAAAAATCTCTTCCATAAAAGAGCTGTTTGTATAGATAGGAGCCCCAGTTATTTTAATTATTAGAAAGCTTAAGCATTTTTAAACTTTCTGTGAAAGGCACAGATGCATTGCTGATAAAATTGCTTAGAAGAGAAATTGCTAGAAATAATATCACTGGCCTACCCAGTTAGAAGAGCTACAGTGAAAGAAGCAATTTCACAGAGGATGCAGAGTTTTATTTATAAATGTTAAGGAACTAGACCTTTTATAGAATTCTTTACCCTATAGCGATCAAATACAGCAATGTCCATGCCTCTGACTGTAATGATGTATTTTGCCATCTATTTTCACTGTATTTAGTTCTGTAAATTCTTTTGTTAACTAATAGGTTGTTTCAAACTGTAATTTGGAAAGTGCAATGTTAAAGCCTGAGTTCATTTCAGACAAATTTGTTACCCTTTGTTTGCTATGAAGGTACAGTTGGGTAGAGTTCCTCCCTTAGCTACCAAAGCTCCTGTAGCCAGAAAGTTAACAGTGGAGGGTATTTAATCAAACTGTTATTCCTGATTATTTGAGTTGAAATTTAAAGCTGTAAAACATTTTGAAGCAGATGAAATTCAGAATTTTTGAATTGAGATCCTAGGCAGCTCAAGCTATTCCTGCGAGGTATTCTGCTGTGACGAATGCTCCAAGCAACCTTGTTTAATCTTTGATATCTAATTTGTGTAGGCGTCGACCAGAAGATTATGATATTCATAACAGCAGAAAGAAACCAAGGATTGACTATCCCCCTGAGTTTCACCAAAGACCAGGTTAATATCTTACTGTGAAGATTTGTGTGCACCAATTCACAAGTGTTATCTCTTTTAGTATATCCTTATTAATTCAAAGGTAAAATATTGAAATGACTGGGATATAAAAATGGGACTTGTTCTGAGTGCTGCCTGCTGGTTTAACCCACCTCTCGCAGAAGTCAGTGACGCTGTTTCACTGGTTTGAGAGAGCAAGCTGAGTTAATCTAGTCTTGAGTCCTTTTAAGAGCCTCAGAATTGCGTACACTGTCGTGAAGGATCCTCTCAAGCACTTTGTTAATACGGGCACAAGAATTGGTTTGACCCACTTGTCAGTGCACTAATCATCAAATTAAAATGTTTATCAGAAATTTCCAACTGGGAAACTCAGCTGAGATTGCTTGACTAGCAGCCTGTGATTAGCGGAGAGAGTTTTTTTACAAGCTTGACGTGAGGAAGGGAGGGGGAAGTTTGACTGCATTTTACAGGAGGGTCTAATGATGAGTTTGAGAAAGGAATTTTGTTGTTCTCCAGAAAGAAATGTTTGCTGCAGTAATGCAGCAACACCACTGGTAATATCGCAGACTTTTTTTTTTTTTTTTCCAGAAAGCAATTGAGAAATTCTTGCATTTAATTTACTGAATCTTGTTTCGCTGCTCTTAGAAATACTTATTCCATTGTTTCAGTAGTAGACTTCTAAATCTTTCTTAAAAACCTGTTAATTGTCCAGCTTGACTGCAAAGCCCATGTTCTTTAATGCATAAAGGGTGTTGTTGCTGCTCCTTGGCTTTCTAAGACCATTGTTTAGAGTATGGAACAAAATTCTTTAAAATAATGGAGCTTATTTTATTAGCATAAGCATGCCTGGTGTTCTGCACCATTTTACTGAGCTCTCTGAAGTTTACTTCCTGTGATTTACTGAAGCTGTAAGAACTCTTTGCCTGGTGGGGCTTTTCCAGATGTTTTTTGGTTGTTTTTCATTTTCTGTGTAACACTGTATCCAAAACCAATTAGTAAATCAGCCTTAAGAGTTGCCCACATGAACACATTCTACTGTATACAGTTAGTAAGTAGTAGCAGCCATGTGCTGACTGCCAAGGGACAGTAGTACCCTTCATATTTGTGGGTATTCCCAGTTGATTTAACTAAAATTCAAGTCTTTATTTGCAGATAGCCCCTTGTTTGTACTGTGTGTAAGTTCCTATGGGTATGTTTCTAGCATTTTTTTTTTACCACATTATACTATTTTTCTCTTCTGCCTACAAGAAGTTGTAAGTTTTTGAGAGTTACTTTGAAAGTGAGGGTAATGACAGGTAGACATAACTTCATAGCTCTGCAAAATGAAAGGACAGTTTCTAATTAGTATATTTTTTAAGACTGTTTACTTGAGATGGATGGTAAACTGAATTAATACTGCTTGATGTTCGAACAGGGTATATAAAGGATCCCAGATATCCTGAAGTAGACAGGTAAGGTGTGTTCATGTTACTCATTTTATGCCCTGGTAACTTGTCTGTATGGATAAATTGGATTTAGTTCTACAAATTTTTATTCCCAACAGACGATTTTCAGGAGTTCGACGAGATGTATTTTTAAACGGGGTAAGTTGGTGCATGCAGACTTTGGGGGAACTTTTTATATTCAGCTTTCTGCGCTTCCAAAGAACGCTCATCACAAATGTTAATATTACTGTCTTTCATTTTAGTCCTACAATGATTACGTGAGGGAATTCCACAACATGGGACCGCCACCACCATGGCAAGGAATGGTTTGTGTCTTGTTGAATTCAGTTTTTCTCTGTAGAAAATGGCTTTTTTTGTTCCTCTCTAGAGGAGTTTAGCATATTCGATGTGCATTCAACTCTTCCCTTTTCCTAAAATGTATGTTTGCTGTAACTATGTAAAATTTTCAGGGAAAGAAATTATTATGTCAAGTATTCTGCAATTTACTTAGCTCTCAGCAGTAGTCCCACATTCTAGTAAGCATCAAGAATCTATGGCATCAAGAATCTGCCTTGGTTTGAAACTGAAATCTCTGAGGAAATACCGGAACCCTCCTTTAGCTTACACAGGAGGGTGTGAGGAAACTTTGTATTCCACTAAATATTCATAGTAATTGGCTTTCTCTCAAACAGCAAATGCATCAGAGGTGGACTTGCTGCAGAGGCTCATGGAATGGGCTGGCATGTTCTGGTGTTGTGCAGTGGCTTGCTTTTGGCTATGGCAGTGAAGCATGCAGGAAAATAGCAGAATGTACTGCACACCATAATCAAAATAAGTCTTGCTGTGTTGAGGCCTCCACTGAAATGCACTTTTTTCCCAGTCAGATGAGCATATGTATGAGTGCTCATATCTATGGCTATGTACATGGAAATTCACTGGTTAACTTGTACAGCTATGGTTTTGCCATCATGTCCGGAGGAATAGTCATTATAACTAGTTATTTTGGTTATATTTAGTAGTTCTGGCCCTGAGGGTCCTGATTTTGGATAACTGTAATGAGTCTTTTGACTCTTGTATACTGTGAATTAGCAAAAGGCAGAGCCAGATATGGAGATGCTATTATAGTCTCATTTTTCTTAGCTGAAGCACAACTCTGGTGTCGTAACTGAAGGAAATGAACAAAGTTGTTGGACTGGGAGGAAAATGGTTTTTCAAACACAGCTAAGCCTCCAGAAACTCCATTTTTTTTTTCTTCCCTCTTCCCATTCTGCACGCTGTTCAAGTAATCATCCTAAAATCCAGCACTTCCACCTTCTTCCTTTGTGACAACAATGCAAACAGATGCTTCAGTAATATGGGAAACAAAGGCCTTCCTGATTGAAGAAATTGAAAAGAGCAGCCAAGAGATGTCTTGTTTAAAAAAAACCCAAAAAAACAAAAAACAAAAAAACCCACAAAACCCAACAGACAAACCTGCTAGCCTTTTGTCAAATAATTTGTCTTGCAGAGTAAGTTTGTTCATTTAAAATAGGAATATATTCATAAGGAATGGTACTGAAAAGACTCATTTCTGTAAGAGGTTTGGACAAAATTCACATTCCATATGCATAGATTTAAAAAAGAAAAGCAGAAGTTTTATGTACAATGTCACTTAAAGGCAGATGTGGAAAGAAGGTGGGTTTGGGGAGGGTGTTGGCCAAACTCGTAAAAAAGCAATGGTGGAGTAGTAGTAAAGCATGCTGACATAATGAAGAATAGTCTGCCATTCAGGTAGGAGCTGTAGTCAGATATATTTAGATGTCATGTCTTCCATCTGGGTGAAAGTAACCTCTGTTCTTAATTCCCAGCACTCAGCCTTGTGTTCGTTCCTTTGTTTTGAAATGTTCAACAAACTTCCTGTAACTTTCTTGTAGCCACCGTATCCAGGTATGGAGCAGCCACCACACCACCCTTACTATCAGCACCATGCACCTCCACCTCAAGCTCACCCTCCATACTCAGGACATCATCCTGTACCACATGAAGCAAGATACAGAGACAAACGAGTAGTAAGTGTTCACAGAGACAGGGGGGAATGTGAGTCTGCAGGCCAGGGTGGGAATTTGGGGTACAGATGTAGCCTAACCTGAGATGTGTTGACTTTGATAAACTGTATTTTTAAGACCTGTATTAGTTTTCCTTGGAAAGATCACTTAGACACTGGAAGTCTCTATTCAGTCTTTGAAAAGCCCCTCTCTCTTTCCCAGGTGATGTAGAAGTGCAAAATTCTCAGAATGTACTCTTAACCTGAGGAGTGTGCTTAAAATCGCTTCCAACCGTCTAGCTCTGAGAATTTTCATGCCGAAGCCCAGTTTGATTATGGTTAGAAGTTACAAGTCTGTAACATTGCTTGTGCTCATGCACAACAGATTATCAGCAGAAAAGTTTGTGTTTTGTAACTTCTTACAGGTATGCCAAAAACCAGGGCAGATTGTTAAATCCAGTTAGCTGGCTTTGAAGGCTGTTTAGCTTTCAGGTCCCTTGCTGGTATCTGGCATTTACACCTCAGCTTCTGCACAGTGGAAGCATAGACATGGTGCTGCCCTGAAGATGAAAGAATAAATTTGTACTTATGGATGCTGGACATAAAATTTATTTATTAAACATTGGGCTTTCCCAATAGTTATGGACAATACTATGGATAGGGGAAGGGAGGGGTTTTTAATCTGGGAAAGGAAAACAGCTGTCCTTTCATCACAGCACGACTACGACATGAGAGTAGACGACTTTCTTCGCCGCACACAAGCAGTTGTCAGCGGCCGAAGAAGCAGGCCTCGGGAGAGGGACCGAGAGCGGGAACGGGACCGTCCTAGAGATAATAGAAGAGACAGAGAACGTGACAGAGGCCGTGATCGGGAAAGGGAGAGAGAGAGAATTTGTGACCGGGACAGAGACAGAGGCGAAAGGGGTAGATATCGAAGATAATCTATCTGGAACCAGTGCTCACTTAAAACAAAAAAAAGCTTGTATTTTTTTGTGTGTTTACAAGTAGTACATTTTATTTTCAGCTGTCTACTTAAAGTTCATTGTGTAGAAGGATTTATAAATGACCCTCTATTCCAAGCATGCAGTGAACTATGAACTGGAAAAAACTCAAATCGGCCAAAAATAAAATACGCAAAGCTGACGCTCAACTTCACGTTTCTGTTGGAGAAGAATGGGAAACAACTAAGAATGTAGATACTGATTAATTCTCAATAAGTGTTCATCTACTTAGTGACTTCATTCTAGGTTTCTGAATACTGATGGATAACTGCCATTTTTTTTTTTTTTGCTTTGATGTTTTCTTCCTGTAGTTTCATATGGTTCAGTGGGAGAATGCTGCTATCAAGTATGCAAATATTGAAGTATGATTTGGTTTTTTTGACTGTATGGCAGTGTTGTAGCAGCCTTTTTTTTGTTCCCTGCCCCCACCCCCCTTCCCCTGTTTTTTAACCCTATCTGTAAAGTCAAGTGTTTTTTCAGTCTTCAGTAAAGAAAGCAATATTAAGAAGACACTATTGATATCTAATTTTTAATCTTTTTTAAAAAACTTCCCATGTTCAGTAAAATTTTGGTCAATCCTCTTGTCTAGTCTCCTTCCAAAATGTACACATTGCTTGGAATGTTCACAACCTGCGTGTGTGGAACCAGAAAATATTGCTGTATTCTACATTGCTACCATTTTTTTTTTTTATATAAAAATAAATTGGTAACTATTGAAACAATTAAAACTTCAGATTGGGTTTCTTGGTCTTCTGAGTTTGCCAGCTTTGATAGATTCTGGCAGTTCTAGGAGAGTCTTTGTGTTCAGAAATAGTTTAAAGGTTCTTATGCTAGATGAAATTGTTCCAAAGCCTGAATTTAGGAAGAGGACTGCTGTAATAAAAGGAAATTGCTTTTATGTTTCCACAGTGGAGTAGTCAACTTATAGCTCCTGCAGCTAATCAGAATTGTTAAGGCCCTGTATATTCAACTTAATCAAATGGTCTTTGAGCTCTTGAGAGGCTGTCCTCAGCCATAATCATACCTATCTCCCAGGAGTGTATTAGTCCTGCAAGATCCAGATTCTTTTTCCATGTTTTCTTTGTAATGATGACTGTGTTGCTTGTTATTTCTCCTTAATAGGAAATATTTTAATCTAAATTTGAATCTAACTGGGGGGGGGGGGGGGAATTAAAACTTGTAGTGGAAGTTGTTCAGTTTCTCTAACCATTTCCTAGTTCTCAAAACTTGTATGAGCCTCAGTGGACTTATTCACAACCTTTCTTCAGTTTCTTCTCATGCAACAGAGCCAGACTCTAGTGTGTGCTTTAAAAACCTCCTAATTCTACAGTGCTTAGTGCTGTAGCTGTTTTTATAAACTGCAATATAGGATTGGTCACAGTGTAGCAGTTGTGGAAACGCCATTTCCAGATCTGACCATAATTTGGGCTCTGTATATTTTAGTCTGTGCAGCTGTAGTAAACATCTACATTTGCTAAGCAAAAAGTTTGGCCTCCAACATCCAACTGTGTTGGGATTTTTTAAACACGACAAGAATTTGAAAATGTTTGGGTTGCTCATAAGAGTTTACTATGCACTGGAAGGTGTGCCTGAGAGGTAGATCAGTATCAAATTCAGTACACATTCTATGTCTTAATGGGAGAAAGGCACCATAGACCACCTTCTTTGATATCTTTCTCTGCTTTATATACAGATTCTAGAAACAAGAGCGGGGGTGTCTGGTTTTGGTTGGGTTTTGTTTGTTTTTGGTTTTTTTTTAATTCAATGCTAGATAAGCCAAACTTCTCTTAAGTTACAGAAAAGCACCACCTCATTAAAGTCACTCTAGAGCACTTTCTCTGTCCAACTTCTCCCAGCTATCCTGTCTCCCCTGTCCTTTGTTAGCCCTGTATGACTGATGTCTGTGCAGTATGCTAGGATGCTTGCTCATCTTCTGGCAACCATACTGACATCTCAGCAAATCTGCTTGCAGAAGCTGGATCATGGAAGCTGTTAGTGATCAAGCTTGGTGGAGCTGTGCCTAGGGACCCAGGTTTATGAACAGTTAGAGCCAAACATTTTCAATCCAGGGCATGAATGTCATGCTGTTCCACTTTGTTTGCTATGCATATTTCAGTATGCATATTCCAGCATATGATCCTATCATGACTGTAGGAACTGTGTACCAGAAATGACCACGAGAACCACTAGTCTTGTTCTAACCGCTCTTTAGTTTAGAAATAATTCATGTGAGCTTTTGTAAACGTTGTAGTATGAAGAGATTTGAAACTGTTGACAATGCTAATAAAGTTAATGCAGTGTAGGGAATTTTATTGTGTAAACATATACAACATGTTTTCTCAGCCTGTTCTGTTTGAAAACAATTCTGCAGTATTCAGAATACAGCAAGTATCAATTAAAACTGGAGCAGGTTTGTTCTTGAGTATGCTGGCACAGCAGTGGAATAACCTTACCTAGAACAGGAGGCCAGAACTAGCATTGTTTCAGTAGGCTTCCATCAGTAAGTGCACCTTGAACAATTTCAGGAGTGCTGAGTTTGCTACTGCTCTTACCTGAGCCAAGAGCAGCACCATTTTCCCTCCCAACTTCTAAGGCAAGGCAAGTGCCTGTTGCACTGTTCCCCCATGTAGTGTTACTTCTTTGCAAGTTCCATCTCTTGAGGTTTTCCTACATTTAGCATGGCTCAGTGGCATTTGGGGGTTAAGAGAGGCAAGTTCCTGGTGGTTTCAACGACCCTATAATGTTTCAGTTAGAATGATGGCCTGTGCAGCAGGATTCCAGACTGAATGGAAAAGAAAGGTTTCTGAGAAAAGTAATTTCTCTGCTGGTTTTAGGACTCTTGTCTCCCATCAGCCCCCCAAGTAGTCAGTGCATTTGTAAAAATGTGATAATACAGGCTTCACCAGCCACTTGCAGCTCCCAGTTTTTAATTGCCTTGGCCCTTCAGAGGGACACTTTTTAAGAGCCTGTGATGTTTGCTTCACTGTCCAGTCTGGAGAGAGCTATTCTGAGACAGCAGAGGCCTTTTGGTTGTGAATCATCAAGCCTGGGTGACATAAGAGAGGACAGCATTATGGTAAGGAAGCCAGTTGCAGATTAAGGGATCCACAGTACCACATGTGGGAAGGCTGAATTTATGAAATATATCAAAATGAAATTGAAAAGTTACAGCAGCAGTTACTGTTCTAGGGACTGTGTGTGATCAGCTAACAGCGTCCCAAGGGATAAAGCAACTACAATTCAGTCTTACTTAGGCCACAAGGAATTTGCTGGCTAAGCAAGAAGCTCTGCCCCATGACAGCTTTTTAGCATGACCCAGTTCAGCTGGGTGCTTCATGATATGCCCAGCTTAAAGTATATCCTAATAATTTTATTCACCAAGGAATGTACATAAATGCCTTGCTGAAGAAAGGAGAAGAAAAAGTGCTGATGGTAACAGGATGCCTATTCTTTCTTCCTCTTTGCAATCCTTCCACATCTCTTACAGCAAAATAAGCAGCACTTGGCAAGAATGAAGACAGCAATGGCTGTACACATGAACAAGAATGCCAGAACATCCAAGCAGTGGTACTGGTACCAGGTGAGATGGTGAGCAGCTGGTCTCAAGTGCTTTGCTCCTTTGTGGCGCATGACAAACTCGATCCAGAAGACAGCTCTGTCCAGAGGCTTAACTGGCTGGTCATGGTGTATCTTGGATAACCTTAGAGCATTTTCTTTATAGCTGGGGAAAAAAGAAGAAACCAAGGAGATTTGTCACTGATTCCTGAAACAACCCATTCAGCACCTGGCAGTCCTCTTGAGGAAGATAGACAGCCCTGCTTTTACTTTCATCAGTGTTAATATATTTGAAACTGGCCCGGTTTACTCCTCTCTGGATAAAATTGTGTTATGAACAGTAATGGAGAAAGACAGTTTTTTGCGAAGAAAAGTTAACTCAAAATTATTCCAGATACTCCATTAAAAAAGCAACATGAAAACATCTGCTGCATTTTCTGTTCCAATATAATATAGTGTGCTGATTTTGGCTGGGATAGAGTGAGTTTTCTTCACAGTAACTAGCATGGGGCTGTATTTTAGATTTGTGCTGGAAACAGTGTTGATAACACAGGGATGTTTTCCTTACTGTTGAGCAGTGCTTACACAGAGTTAAAGCCTTCCTGCTCCTCACATCATCCCACCAGTGAGGAGGCTGGGGGTGTACAAGAAGTTGGGAGGGGACACAGCTGGGACAGCTGACCCCAACTGACCAAAGGGATATCCCAGACTTTATGAGTCCTGCTCAGCACATAAAACTAAGGGGGAGGTTGGCAGGGGGGCTGCATACACCACATTTCATCCAGGTCTTCAGATGCCTGGTCGTCATCCAGGTTGTTACAGATCACCTCCAACGTGGCTAATTCCCTCAGATACTGGATACCTACATCAATGCTGGTACATGTGCTTCGTGAATTTGCAAGTTCTTCCTTGAAGGGATACCTGTCCTTCACACTTAGCAGAGCTTGCTGCCAAAGACTGAGGACTCCTGCCTTTTTTCCAGTCCCTTTGTCAATAGCCTTATCCTTAGCAAGGGATCCCAGCCGCCAGGCTTTTTTACTCTCTTAATTCTTGACTGATAGATACAGTAACCTGAGGATACTGGTAACTCAGGGTAGGAGAAAAATGGTTGTGGCTACAGACAGACTAGATGTAATACAGTTAGAATTGTTACCCAGAGCCTCCAGAGAATTTATATTAGCAGAGAACAAGGAAGCAAGAGCAGAAAACTCTCAGGAGCTGCTCTGGGCTTTCTAAGATCAAATTACTGATCTCCTTTCTGAGAAATACTAATTCTCGGAAATGAAAGATGGGTTTAATCTGAAACCCAAACTCCAGCTACTCAGTATTTTTGGTTCCCAGAAGAGCAAGCAGAATTTCTCACATCAGCAGCCTAAGATTTTAATAACCTCATCCTACTGTGAGGCAAGGACAAAACTCACGTGGAATTGTTAATGACTGTATTCAGTGCATCAACTAGGTCCTGTGTCTTCAGTGTGCTGAAATCCAGCTCAACTGCAGCTCCCTTTGCCCTCAGGTGAGCAATGTTGTCATGCTGGTCAGCAAATATGGGAATCCCAACCATTGGGATCCCGTGGTAGATAGCTTCATAGATCCCATTGGTCCCACCATGAGTAATAAAGGCCTTTGTCAAGGGATGGCCTGGAAAAGGGAAGGAGAGTCATGTGTAACAGCAGCTGTGGCAGACTGCGTTCACTGGGGCGTGAGCACTGCAAACTACCCAGGCAAATGCAGGGCTAGAAAAGGGGACAGCCCTGACCTCAGGATCAGCATCAGAGCTTGCACATCTGGCTTTCACACGTTCGTGTTTATCTTAATGTAATGTTTGAATCAGCATGTTCCTCCGGACTACCCCAGCCCTTTTACTGTTGTACAATTCTAGTTTTCACATGGTGTCAAGGTCACAACAGCCTCCTGCTGCAGCCTTTCTTAAGTCAAGCATTTTGAAGAATGAGTCCAGGAGCTTAACTGCAGAGGCCAAGCCCAGCTCTGGAGTACATGCCTACTTTGATATTTACTCCTGCTTAGAGGTGGTTATTCGCCTTTCCAGACAATTGCCACCAGGCTCTGTGAGACAGAGGCTTTTGCTTTAGAGATCCATGTTCATAGCTAGGCTCAAGTTGCTGCCTTCTTGAACCACTGCTCCCTACTCCCATCACAGCCTGGCTGCATCTTCAGTGGTTCTTGTACAGCCACTCACCTTAAAGTCAAAAGCATATTAGGAAATTAAGGCTAATCCAAGAGCAAACCTCTACTGCTTAAACTGTGAAACTAATTGTAGCTGCAAGTGTTAGTGATTCTTTTGCCTGAATAAGCCATTTTAGAGGAAAAACAAGGATACAGTTTTTCCAAGGGCGTAATGAATCCCAGATAGAATCTGTCTCACCAAGCAGGTCATTTTGGGGTATCCAGTCATAAATCCTGGTGTTGGAACCCAGAGTTTCTGGTTTTTTTCCTTTGTACCGCCAGAGGACCTTGAACAAAGGAAGAATAAGATAAACATAATGCATGTGACACACCCTTCTGTATTACTTACATGTAATGTAGGGCTTTATCTGAAACCCACATACCTTTTCCCAGTAATTCAAATAGCTTTGGCTCCAGTTCAGCTCTTTGATTTTTTTATTATGTGTTTATTATAAAAATCACAGAGTGATTTTTATACTTTGGCCTATGGACGCACCTCCAAGTCATCTGATTCAGAGAAGAGGAAACGCCAGTACTCCCCGTGAGGTGACTCGCCAGTCTGCCTCTCTGCAGCACCCAGCTTCCTGGCTGGGGCATATCCAGCAGAGATGCAGCCAAAAACCAGGCCAGTCCAAACGTAAAAGGCTCGCTGAAGGCAACAGGAGTGACAAAAAACAAAGCAAAGTTGGTTTAAACTCAAAGGGAAATTCACCTTTTGTGGAAGCTGGCTGAGGGCTCTGGCAATCACATTACTTTTTTCATCAGTTAGCTTGTAGACCATCGACCCGAGAGAGAATACCACAATGCCGTGTTCCCCTGAGCTTTGAACAAATTCTTCCATTTCCTAGGAGAGGCAGAAAACATTCTAAGAGTAATTATGCACTGCAGATTACACAGACTTCTGTAAACAGAGAGCATAACCTTTTTAGCTTATCAGGGAGATGATCGTGGTGCATGAGCACCTCCGCTGACAGAAGGGCATTACAGAGATAGACCTGGCCCTATGCAAAACAGTTTCTCCCTCAGAAGGACCAGGACAAATTGAGGCAGATAACAGAAGCTTTGTCTTTTTGGGAGCAAGTCAACCAGTTTCAGGACACATTTCTTTCAGAGCACAAATAACAGGAATGGATCCTATCATGATTCTGGATTTTCCTGGAACAAGTACTTTGCATTTCATAGCTCTGCAGGAAGGGAAAGTGCTGAAAACTGACAGGGTTTTACAGCATCCTGATCAGAGATTCATCGAGTCGCTTTCTTAGTTAGCCAGTTCTCTACTTCTTGCAATACACCCCATTAGGCCTTCCTGTTCTCTTTTTTAGTTAGTGTCATGTGAAATGGAGCCGTAGCATCCAAAAGAGAATGGTTACCCATTTCCCCCAACTCAACCCCTGCTACAGGGGAGTGGGAAGAGTTGGAAGGCTGCTTTTAGTATACAACTTGCACTAAATATACCCTACCTCCTCCAAGGCTCCTGCAGGAGTGATAAACTAGACCAGAGCTTGTTGTTCTGCTGTCATCAGCACCTGTGAGTTTCAGATTCTACCTGAATATTGCCAGTCATAGCAGAGCATAGGCTGGAGATGCTGAATATTTTACCCCCTTTAAGATGTCTTAAACTAAGCAACCGTAAAATAAGTGTTTATCACTCATCTTTTTCTGCAAGTCTTGACTCCATTTTATCTAAAGCATTTGTCCCGTCACAGTGTCTTTTTGAAATCAGGTATTTCAGCATTACCCCAGACCGCAAGTCTGTATCTTAGAATTAAATCTTACACTTAACTTCTCTGAGGTAGCACCTTTATTTCCTAAAACAAACACTATATTCCCTCCTGCTGACCTCAGCTATACTCTTTTAAGACAGCAGGCTGTAAACCCAGACCTCAGTTTGCGCAAGTGCTGACAGGTTGCTAAATGGCACCGTGCTCCCCACTGGTAGCAGAAGACCTTCTTTAAGAATGAGCTTTCTCAGGACATAGTTTGCACGGTTTATCAGGGAAAGAAACAGTTTTTGTTCTGCTGGGTAAATGACCAACCAATGGCAGAACAAAGTTTGGCATACCTTTGGTAATGGCTTTGCAGGCTTGCAGTGAAGTCCTCCAACAAACTCAAAGTTGGGCAGGAAAGGGCGTGGAAATTCAAAATCCCAGTATGTTCTGATTAACCATATCTCTGCTTTCCCCATCGTCTCACACAGGGTTGTGGGCCTCCCTATGGACAAAGTACAAGGGGTTTACAACACACACACAGGAATGGTCTTGTTTGCTGTAGATTGTGTAATAGGAGCCTTACCTTTGTCTTTTGGCATGCCCCATCAGAGTAGTCTGTCAAGTCATGCATGAAAGGAAAATAGGGACAAATCCAGAACTATTCCTTACCCTGTCCTGTGTTTGGTCTTGGCAGGTTGCCACGAACAAGGCAGTACAATTTTTAAAAGGATTTTGAACCTTCAGGATTAATTTAGAGCAGTACAAGAGTAAATGGGAAGCATTTAGTTTCTGTGATACAAAAGTGTAATTCTTGTACCACTGAAAGACTTCATTACCTGTGCTTGTAATAAAAACACACTTTGGGGAAGAGAACAATCACAGGAAATTTAGTTCCAAATAAAAAATATATGAACTGCAATGTGATGATCACCAGTCAGGGAGGAGGAAAGTTTTTAGACAAAGTTCTGTAGCATTTTTCAAATGACAACTCAGTCAGTAGCTGCTCAGACTACAATAAAAGGCAGGTGCAGCCATCCCTAGTTCTCTCAGGGGTGGAGTCAGCTCCTTTGGACACATATTGGGAAAATTTGGCCAAATCCATAGATGCTTTGAATGTCATTTTATACAAAATCCAATGTCTCTAGAAATTTATCTAGAGAAAAAATACGATGGGTAAAACTGTTTGATAGCTTCCCATTTGGAAAAATATATATGCTCAGGTACATGTTGCAAGTTGTCTTTGTAGTATTTTCCCCACGAAGTGGGACTGGAGGGTAAAAGGCTTAGAAGTGTTGGTAAATGATTGTTCAAAGTCAGGCTAATGCAAGCAGGAACCAAGCGAAATAAGTGGAGAGATAAAAATTATCTGTAGGGCATCTTCTTATACTACTTGATCAGCGTTACAATTTACACCAGTAATTTTTTCTTAAATTTTATTTTAAGTAAAGAGCAGTGAGTCAGTTACTGGAGTCACAATTAAGCCTGCATTAGAAGTAGAGTGATACAAGGTATAATTATTTCTTAAATTGTATTTTTTAAAAAGTAAATCCAGGGAAAAAGGGGCGAGTTTGCACTGAGGTGTTCCTGGGAAACACAGGAAGAGATTGGAGGGCAACAGAATAGATGCCCTTGTGCTTGCTCTTCATAGATACTCTGTACAAGATTCAAAGTCCATTTAATAGACTTTGAATCAAGCCTGAGTTGTAGTAGGTTGGAGCAAAAATTTCAGGTATGATTGTAGTTTAAGGAGACTATTTCAAACTCTGAGTGAAAGGGTGAGGTGACAGTTCTTAGCATTTGTTATTGGAGAACATGAATTCCTGCTTAGCATGCTGTACTCATCAGGGTTGCAAGATGATATCTCCAGACAATGCATACAATATGAATGAAGGGTGCTTTTTTGCTCTGCTGTTGTCCAGAGACAGCTAGTGGTCCTAGTTGCAACAGGGTTAACTCCATCTCTTTGTTGTCAATGGCGTCCAGTGCCTTACACTTAGTTAAGGAATGATTTTTCCCTCCAGCCTTTAGCTACTACCATCTTAATTGTAGAAGTGCCTGTCATCAAGACGAAGAGGCAACAGCTGTCCTCTGAAAGCACTAAAATGGGCATACAGCTCACTGCAAGAGCTCACCAGCAGTATCATCACTGACAGAATTTAGAACTACATGCTCTGAAGATCCTCAAGAGGAATTAGAGCAAAACTGCACTGTTGTCTGTTAGACCAGACCAGACCTAAAAGGGAAAGCACAGCCTCTATGTGACCAAAACGGGATTACCATCTCTGCTGGCCAATGAGAAAAAGTTTGAGACAACAGCATTGAGCTCCCAAAACATTCAAAAGGCACAACCTATGCAAGAGGAAAAAACATTCAACAGCTGCCTTACCTAAGACATTACTGTAGTACCCGTCCCATTCGTCTCGCCAAAACTTCAAGAAAAATAAATCCATGTAAAAGTAAAAGAGGAAGTTCTGTAGTCTTTCCACAAAGGACATCTGGTCTGTCAGCCCCCTTGTGCTAGCAGGCACATAAGAAGGTGGGGACGGGAGCCCACCACATAGCCGCTCTACCACATTCCCATCAGAGAAGCGGAAGCTGTAGGCAAAAGGGATTGCTAGGATTTCTGCTACGAGCTCCCCACCTGCAGACAGAGGGTCAGCGATCAGAACATCAAACTTGGCCTGCTGCAGCTTTGCTATCAGCTGGGTGTTCATCACCAAGGTGTCACAGGTCTGCTTTGACATATTGGTAAAGACCTCCAGGACCTCTTTCATCTTCCACATGATCTTCCAGGGAGAGACATTAGAGACCTCATTCATCCAGAAATTGAGGAAGTCCTCCATGGCAGTGTGCAGGGTCTGCTGTGTAAAGGGGACTTGCAGGACCTCAAAGGTGAAGGGGGAAGAGGTGTCTTGGTAGTCAATGAGCAGATTGCTTGAGGGTACCAGCACAGTCACTTCATGACCCCGGAGAACGAGCTCTTCCAGCAGCACTTTAACATTGATCCAGTGACTTGCATCAGTGGGCCAGACCACCACCTTCCCACAAAAGCCAGCGCTCCAGCAGCATGCACAGGCCCAGAGCAGCCAGGGGAACCTTGGCCCCATCATCTCAGCTGTCCATGTGCCACTCCAGTCTGACTGAGCTGGAAGCAGTTCACTGCTCCAGTGTGCAACCACTTTAGTGCCAGCCAATAAAAGTGAGATTCACTTGATGCCAAGCTTCACAAGAGGGCGCGTCACAACGCATCAGTCATGGGAGGACTGGGCAAGCAGCAAATCCCATTCTAGAGTCTCCTGCAGAGCCACTGCTGATCTCAAAATGATGGCAACTCCTATTTCTGCTCACCACAAAGTGCGTTTTGCAGCATGTGAGGACCAGGAGCCCTTTTCATGTGTTGTGACTTAATCTTGATAGGCGGCTAAGCACCACGAAGCCTCTCACTCCTCCACAGTAGGAGGGTAAAAGCAAGGGCAGCAGAAAATTCATGGGTTGAGATAGAGAGAGCTTAATAAGCAAAAACCAAAAAAACCCAAAGAAAAGCAGTAATGCAAAAAAAGAACAATTGCTCACCATCATCCAAACAATGCCCAGACAGTCCCTGAGCAACAGCAACCCTGGCAGACTCCCCCTGCCCCCAGCTCTTTTTGCTGAGCACATCACATGGTATGAGATATCCCTTTGGTCACCCAGGTGAGCTGTCCTGGCTGTGTCCCCTCCCAACTTCTTGTGCAACCCCAGCCTCCTCGCTGGGAGGAACATGTGAGAAGCAGAAAAAGCCTTAATGCTGTGTAAGCACTGCTCAGCAATAACTAAAGCATCCCAGTGTTACCAACACTGTTTTCATCACAAATCCAAAATATAGCCCCATGCAAGCTACTGTGAAGAAAATGAATTCTATTCCAGCCAAAATCTGTATACCCTCATACCACATCTTCAAGGTGAGGATAATCCTTCCTGTGCCAAACAAGAGCTCAGGCTAGGGCAAGCACGTGAGCAGCACATGGGACTTTTTAACAACTGCAAGATGAACCCCATCTTATCACTTGACTACAGCCTAGATTTGTTTCTTTGCCCTGTAAGAACCAACCTGTCTGTAAAGCTGGTTACAATTCTTACCTCCTCAGTTACTGGGTGCAAAATGTCCTGCAGTGATTCACAACTAGCCCACAGGGTGCTCTAATTGTGTCCTCTCTATAACGAGATGCTGTGGACATGCAGCACCGCTGCTGGAAGGACACAGTCCTGGTAGAGAGGACTCCAGCATCAGGCCACCCCAGGAGAGAAACAGGAGGAGGTGAGGAGTACAGGTTTTGCTCACCTTGTTCCTTCTGTGCCTTCTCCTGGGAAGGTGCTGCAAGCTGGCATCAGTGTATCCATATCAAGTAGTCCAGGACAGATACTGCTAAGACAGACCTGATTTCTCCTCTTGACTTTATCCTGCAGGTGTAGTGGAGATGCTTGGTGCTACTGATGTGTTCAGGGAAAAGAACAGGCAGCTGCTCTCTCCTGAGCAGAGGGCAAATGAGGCTCAAGAGTCTAAAGAGCCTGCGCACTCCCTCCAGAGCTCAGCATCACCCCATGAGCTCCCCTCACTGGACTGACAGTGGAGCGAGCAGTCTTCAACCCCATCACTTGAAAAAGCCTTTAGGTAGCTCTGGGAAAACAGCTAGAATAATTGGAACCCTGAAAAAGATTTTCCAAGGAGAAAGAGAAGGTGTGTGTATACACTTCAGGAGCTGAGACATTGCCCCATTTCTGTGAGATGCTTGCCCCTTCCTTTCACACCTCCTCCAGGACTGGATACACGCCAGATCAAAGCGAATCACAGGGTAGAGAACAGCTAAGCTAACACAGCTCACAAAACAGGCATTGCACATGGGCCCTTAAATGCTAAACCCTGCATACAACGATAACAAAGACAACACAAGACCCAGGCAGCTCTGAAGCTTACACAACAAGAGATCAGCAAACCATGGTTCTGCCAGCACAAAATTTTCTAGTCTCTATCAAACATGATAACGCAAATAAACACACAGCCAGCTACTCTTAATAGTAGGATATCTTAACAACTTTGCTCTCTTAGCAGAATTGCACCCTACTAGTGCAATACAAATAAAAATGCTTGTCTCAAATTGAAATAATACCCATTTTATCTGCTGACCGACAGTGCATGTGTGTTCATCCTGTTTCCTTTGTGAAAATAATTTTGTGACTGTTATTTTAAAAAGAAAAATACTTATAAATACAGCTATCTTCTAGTGTTTCTTTTAGACACTTTCAGAAAAGCAAAGAACCCTGTCTCTGCTGGGGGCTTTTTATCACTGCAAATTGGAGCTCAGCTGCTCTCCCAAGCCTTTAAAAGACCGGAGGAGGCCATTATCTCTCATTTTGAGATAAGCTAGCAAGCAAAAGGGATGCCAGGGGAAAAAGGGTAGTATTGTTGTACAGCTTTCCAAAACCATTCTTTACTTCTCCTTCAAAAGGTTTAATTCATCACTGGAGTTTGGTGGCTGTATATAGCAGTATTTTGCTGTTCTTACTGTTTATCATGATTCATATATAAATATGACTGATGAGCTCTGTGGCTTTAGCACTTTTTTACCTATCCTAGAAGTATCTGTATGGATTTAGCTGTACTGGTGTAGCAGGTCAGGATTAACAGGTAACTTTTGCACTTGCCTGGATTATTTGATCTGACACAGGAATTTTGGAGGAAGGAGAGTGAGTTCAAGGCTGTCTTGCCCCTGATTTGTGCCTTAACCTCTAAGCTCTGGGTATTTACTCTTGTGTGTACAGCAGATGTAATTTCTGGAAATAAGAGCAGCCTTACCTAAAACATCACTGTAGTACTGATCCCAGCTTCCCCATACAAGGTAATGATACATGATATCCTGCACAGTGAAGGAGAAGATGTTTTTTAGCCTTTCCAGGAAGGACATCCTATCTGTTAGGCGGCTTAGGATGGCTGGTACGTAGGAAGGAGGTGCTGGGAGCATCCCACAGAGCCTCTCCACCGTGTTGCCTACGGAGAACCGGATGGTGTACACGAAGGGGATACCCAGCTTCTCAGCAAACAGCTCCCCACTGGGTGCCAGTGGGTCTGCCAAGAGGACATCGAAGGTGGATGCCCTCAGTCTCTCCAGCAGCGCCTCGTTCTTCAGGACTTCATCACAAATGGTTCTGGTTATGTTCTCCAGCTTGTACGACAGTTGAACTATGCTGTAAAGGCTTGCCCAGCCAGGTAGCGCTCTCTCCTGGTAAAACCAAAAATAGAAAGCCTCTTCCAGTAAAGTAGCCATCTCCTTTTTGGTGATCGGCACCTCAATCACCTCAAACTGAAAGGGCGAGGGCTGTGTGGAGTCGAGGATGAGGAAACACGAAGGCAGCAGCACGGTCACCTCGTGACCCCGGTTCACAAGCTCCTGGAGGATGTACTCCATGTTCAGCCAGTGGCTGTTGTCAGCTGGCCAGACCAATACCCTCCCCCCCGACCCCCAGCCCAACACAGCCAGCAGCCACAGCACTGCCACCTCCTTCCCAGCCATAGCCTGCTCTGTGTGGCACTGCCCCGGTGGCCTTCCTTCCTCCCGAGCAGCAGCACCCCCAGCCTGGGCTGGGTGTGTATGACACTGCACTGCTCTGAAGGGCAGGGAGCCAAGGGAGCTGACGTGAAATCCTGGCCTGGATGAGAGCATGTTTTCCTGGGGAAAAAGGTGACTGGGACCAGCTAGAACCGTCTGGTAGTAAATAGCTAGCTGAAGCTGGAAGATGTGCTTCCTCTGGAGCCATGGGGAGAGCTGTCAGCCCTGGGGGGCTCAGTCCAGCGAGGAACCATGTCCTGTTGGTCATCCAGGCCCTCTTGCCTGTCTAACTACAGTCTCTATGTTATTTGTTTGGTAGAAAAGGTGACTTTTTCATTCTTCATTTTCATTTCATTCACACTGACTCCTTGAAGCACAGCTGGGCGTACAGCAAAGATGTCCACCCACTGTGTGGGCACCCTTTTGCTTTATGAAGACACTGAGCATCCGTTTACAGTGCACTTAAGGTGGCGATCCAGAGCTGCAGCTAAAGAGTTGCGTCTCGAAGTGGATGAAACTATGTGGCAAGTGACTCCAGTATCAGAGTAAGACTTGTCCTCATGTGAACTTGCCTCTTCCAGAGCATGCATTGCAGTAGGCCAGTGCTGGTAGGTGATGGTGTGGGCTGTCCTGCCTGCCACTAGGTGCCAATTATGCACTTTAAGTTGAACCAGAAAATCTGTTAAACAGTTTTATTTATGGTCACCCTTCTGATGTGCAATTAAGAAATAATGTAAGTCCTCTTCACTGTGCTAAAAATTGTCATTACTGGGCTTCTGCCCAGCTCTGTTACACAATGTTTTCCTAATGTTGTTGTGCAAGGTTTTTGCTTTTTCATGAGCTCAGTGTAAGGTTGGTAAAAATGACATGTTGATCACATATGGTTAATGTTTAAATAAACATATTTTTCTACATATTCACTCAAAACAGTCCAGAAGAAAAGCTTGCAGAGGAAGACTCATTGCATTTACTGTTTGCTTGTGGGTGGAGGGTATGTTTTAATAAAATTTGTTTTGTGCAGAGAGGAATGGTTTTGTATGACCAGTGACGTATGTAAAGTCTCTTACAAAGTCACAATGCATTTCAGTATTGCTACTGAGGGTGGTGGGGCTGGCTTGTAATTCACCAGCTCCCCCCTCCTTGTTATGATACTCTGAATTAGGGAAACAGCTCTGTTCCTGCAAGCAGTCATTGAGGGGGGGAAATGTGTAAGATGAACTCCCTTGCTGAGGGCCCTATATGGTGTGGAATTTGTTTAAACCTCTACGTTAAAAATAATTACGGCAAAAGTCAACTCCTTCAGTTGGGATGAGCACTGATCGCTGTCTTAATGCAATGTCATAGCAGCACAGCACACTGACAGGGAGTGGGTGCAACTGATGGACCCTGGTGGCTCATTCCCTTTTCCACATAGGGACATAATGTCAAACATCTTGCTGACCTCTCTCAGACCTTGACTTTGCGACCCTGCCAGGTTCCTAGCTCTGCAGGTTGTAAGGCGGGGAGGCTGTGTAGTGAGAAGTGAAGCAGCAGAACACTTACCTAAGACCTTGCTATAGTAGATATCCCATTCTCCCCAGTAGCTCTGGAAAATGTAGTCTTGCAGGTGGTAAGACACAATGTTTTTTATTCTTTGTCCGAAGGACATGCAGTCAGTGAGCTCAGACAGGGCTGCAGGTGTGTAGGATGGTGGGGCTGGGATCTTGCCACAGTGCCTCTCCACGGTGGAGGCTGGGGAGAAGCGCAGCGAGTAGATGAAGGGAACAACCAGCTTGAGAGCCAGGACATCCCCACAGAGGGTCACTGGGTCTGACAGCAGCAGGTCGTATCTAGACCCCTGCAGGTGGGCCATCAGCTCTTGGTTGGTTAGCACCGCGTCGCACATTAGCCTGTTCATGTGGTGCCAGTTTTTGGACAGTTTTCCCAGGTTCTTGTAAAACTGCCAGAAGGTCAAGATGGTTGGCCTGTTATTCAGCCACAGTGCCACTACATCCTCAATCAGGTTCTCAATGGTGTCTTTCTTGAAGGGCACGTTATAGACCTCAAACTTCTCCATGGACTCAGCCCCGGGTTTAATGAAGAGGGAAGCGCTGGATACCAGGATGGTAACACTGTGCCCACGATGGATGAGCTCCTGTATAATTATCTTCATATTCAGCCAGTGACTGCCTTCTGATGGCCAGACCAACACGTTCCCACAGAAGACAGGCCCTAGAAAAGTGACCTGAAAAAGGAGCAGCTGGAGGTATTTCTTAGAGCCAGTGGGTCTTGTGGCCATGTCAGGGTCAAGGGCTGGGTAGCCTGGGAGTTTTCCCTTCTAGTAGGGAGTGCTGCACCTCTGTGTTGTGTTGGATGGCTCTTTACTAGCACTCTTAGCAAAAACAAGAGTTTGCTGTAACACAGGTGGGGCCTTTAAAACCCACTTTGGTCTCAGGTCTGAAAAGACAGAAAAGGATGTTTGGTGAATCACTTTTCCCTTTCTGCTTTCTATCTCGTTCCCCCTGAGGGAACTCCTTTCCCTGGCTATCAAGGTGGCAGCAATCCCTGCTGCTGTCAGATGTCTGCCTTCAAGCTATTCCCTTTGCACAGGAAGAATTTAATCCTTTATTTTTTTATACCTTTTGTAGTTTTTTCTGAGGAATCCTTACCATGAAATAAAAACAAATAACAGAGGACCTCTTCTAGCCATGTAACTACTGTATCAGTAAATGCTGGCAGATTTACTACAAGTATTAGCAAATAAGTGGCACTGCTTCCAGCTCTGGAGAAATACTGAGATTTGCTGGAGAACGTATGATTTTAAAATGCCTGTTTCCAATTGCAACAGCCATGGTATCTGCATACTGTAATGTTGCTATTACTTATGGCAGCAAACCTACCTGTACTTAAAAATTCATTTATCTTATTCTGAGGGTTTCCCAGCTTTCTCCATCTTCCCTTCCAGAAGCAGTATAGGGGCTTACTTAGTTGACAGGCAGTGGTGCTACAGGGAGTGCTTGCTTGTTTGAATATACTGCTAGACTTGGTGCAAGAGCCCTGGGCAACACAAGATGGACACCTATGACAGAACTAGCAGTGGCAAATTATACCGTAAGCATCCCTAAGCCTCCTCAACCCTTCTGCCACCATATTCCTTCTGGTAAATAATATGAATTACTGGCAGTCATGCCCTAGCCCCTGCAGAGAGCTGCTGCCTCTCCAGGTTTCACCATTCATTCAAGTTGGTCCATCTTTACAGAGGAAGAAACTGCAAGTGAGCCAGTCCCCTGGATGCCAGCTCTGATACTCAAACAAATCACTTGCAGTGCTCACATGAACAAACGATGCCAGAGGCAGGCTGAGGAAGGAGTGGCCACAGGGTACACTTAAGCCAGGTCATGGCAGACTTGGAAGGGGCATCTTTTTTTTAGGGTGAGATGTTAGAAGTGCTGATGGTTCCCATGCTGTGAGAAGGCAGAAAATCCTTCATTTGGGTGTTGATAATGCCAATAATAACACATAGTTTGTTCTGATATGTGACGATTGGTTTCCAACTGCTACTGTCTGGGGTGTGTCACCTGGTCCTGTTGTGGGCTCAGGTCAGGTGTCTAAACATGGGTCCAGGGCCCTGCTAGCCCCTAAAGGTCCTTCTCAAAGAAAAACCTACATCTTCTGGGGTGGCTCTCACTTGGAAATTTGCCACTTGCATGTAAGGCACTATGTCCTAGAAGGAGCTCTTGACCACCAGGGGCCAAAATGACAGCTAAAACCCATGCATATAATGATACACTCAATCCAATACAATTTGAAGAACAAATGCCATGCAGCAAAAAAATCTTACCTAGCGGAGCTTTCCAAGGTATGTAAGCATTGTGCTCTGGGCTGCAAGGTGCAAATTGCTACACTGGTTTGCTTCTGTTTCGTGATACGCAGCTCCTCTGTGCCTGGGCTGCTCTGGTGAGGTTGGGTGTTGGACAGAAGGAGCTTAAATAAATTACCCTCTGAACTGGGCTTTTCAAAAGGAGGAAGTAATAGAATATGGGATGATCACAACAAGGCATGTGTTCTGGGTTTATTCATTGCTTTGTTATGCTCCAGTAATTTAATAGTCGAGATGGCTTCCCCGTGTAGGGTATATTAGAATGTTATTACAGAGCCAGATTATCAGAAGGACTTTGCATCCTGTAGGTCAGAAATATGGTGTCTGACTGCTAAAAAGATTTTTTGCTCCCTTTAGGGTCCCAGCTGGCAAAACAAATTTTTTTGTTAAGTAATAGACTTGTTTATAAACTGTCTACAGGAACAAAGAGAAAATCTTGTGGTTTGTTGGCAAAGTTTTTCAAAAGTTGTTATGTTACCTGTGCTGGGTGTGTGGCCCTTGATTCTGGAGACCTAGGCAAGTTTTTAATGACTTGAAAATATAGGAATGTAAAGATGCACCTTCATGGTTTTTAAATATTGCCCATAATGTCCAACCTGACTTTTTCCGTACCCTCAAAATTCAGGGCAATTATGCCAGCGTGTTTCAACAGTAATTTGGCCTTACAGCCAGGATTTTCACTATTAACCCCATAGACCTTTGTTTTCAGGCTAATTTAGCTTATTTGTTAAAGTCCTCTAAGAAACTTTAAAGCTTTTTCAGCAGCTACTGAAAGGCCATGTTCATGTGTGCTAGGGCAGATGGGAATTTGGGTTTCATTTCTAACCCTTCAGTAACTAGTTCCTCTGTAGCAAATGAGAGCTATTACTAAGGAACCAGATGGTTAAATTTGTCTGTTTCCATGGCCAGCTTTTAAAGGTGATACTTGGATTACTCTTAATGCAGAGAAAATAAGCATTTTAAGAGGATTAAAGGACAAAACCCAGAAAATGAGAGAAAAGTGGGGCTGAAGAAAGTAGATGGTGTTAAGTGTCTGTATTTCACACATCTAGCATTACTAAGTAGAAGTGCTGCAGACACTGATGCAACCTCCAAGCATTGTAAAATAATGACCGGCTTTTTGAGGTGAAGGCGAGTTATGTAAAAGTTAGGCAATACTAACTACTGTTTCCCATATACCAGTGTTCTGCTGATTAAGCATACCAATTAAACTCAGACACCAGAGTGAAAAGATTAAGCGTATTTTACTAGTGATAATCAATGTAACAGTATAATACAGAAAACATGCAGTAAAAAAAAAGCAGAATAGTGCACTTAAAGCAGGAAACAGGAAAAAACAGGGTAATGCATCAAATCGTTACTACATGAGAGAGAGAATGGAGATTAAGAAAAATACATCACCACTTGCATACTTTACCATCACCCAGACCCGCAGTGGCTGGGCAGCCCCGGTTACAGCGAGGGTTTGCAGAGCCTGTCCCGGCAAGGGGGAAATCCTACGCGGTGCCTCCACCCATAGGTGAGGCTGCCAAAGTCGCTGCAAACGGGCCCGGCCTTATACGCCAGAGATTGACAAGCCAGAATAGCTGGCACCTTTGTTTTGAGCGGAAAATTTCTGGTTTCATTCTCCTGTTGGATTCCACCCAAAGCCTGGCCAGGGCTCAGTGGGGAGAACCAAGCGAGCTTCTAACAGGGCCAGATACTTGGGTTCTCAGCCTTGAACAAGGCTAAACAAGAGAAGCTGGATATATTCTCTCCTCACTCCCGATTCTGTCTAAGCTGCCTCTTTCACTAGTGACTTTACGTACTTCGTTAATGATTACAGACTAAGTTAGCAGCTTTGGCTTGGGGCCTGTTGTTCAGGCTTCAGTACTTCAATGCTTTAGCACTTTTTACATCAGCATAAGTGCATTGTTACAACTTAGTACAATACCTACTAGCACAATTGTTTCAGTTATAAAATATACAGGATTCATCTATAGGTCAACTCTGGCTTGGGCCAGTTGTCCAAGCCCTAGCGCTTCAACGGGTCTCTTCACCATTTTGCTGTATGGGGGTTATGGTGTACATGGCACCTTTATTTCTAGCAAACCTTGATGCCAAGCTGCACCTCAAAAATTCAGTGCCAGGCTAATAAAGGGAAGCTTCTGTGCTGAGAAGCACCAAATGACTGTGGCTTTCCTTTCACTTACTTCAGTAAAGCACTTTCTGGACTGAAAGCAGATTTGAAAGTCTTGACTAACATTTGGGGGGAGGGGAGGAAGGAAGAGGAAGGCTGCATGGAGAAAACAGCAAGGTTGGCTCATCCATGGGTACAGAGAGAAGTGAGTGGATTGAGCAATTCTACAGCGGCACTTGTGCAAGTGCTTGGTAAAACGCCTACTCCCATGTAATCACCAGGGGTAATAGGGAAACTCCAGCAAAAGTCAATGAGCTGAAATAGCCTTACCATAACCACCTTTCTCAGCTAAATTGTGTCTTTATACCTCTACCTTGCAGCTGTAGGACAAAATACCACAGGCTAGGTTTATAGTTAAAACAGTTGTTTTTATTGATTCAGTTTAAGATTTTATGAACTCTCTTCACTGCTGATGCAATGCTTCAAGGGCACCTTGGCATGTAAACCTACAGGACTAGAGTTGCTAGCACATATAGAAACCAGGGTGGCTAGTACTGGAGTCATTTCCACTTTGAAAAAAAAAAAAAGAAATGAGAGAAGGTCCAGGCCAAGCGTTGTGTCCCTGCTAGGAATTGTGCCTTTTGAGGGGAGAAGAGGTGCAGCAGTGGAGACTTGCCAAAGCTGCCTGCAGTTACAGCACGCCCCAGTCTTGCGAGCATCGGTCTGACCCCCAAGGGAAAGCTGAGTGCTATGGAGATAGGCAAATCTGCAAATACTGAGGGTATAGACATGATGGGACTCACCTAATGGCTCACCAGCCCAGAAAGGGACAGTTGTTCTCTCACTCCCACCCTCTCGTGTATTTTTTGCTCACGCTCCTATGCTAAGCCTTCCCCTGTGCCAGGTCAGCTTGACAATGATTTATTTCAGTGGAGGAGTTTGCTGCTGGGCCAGGGAGGAGTTGGGCAAAGACCGGGCTATCATGGAGCAGGGGTCCCCCTGAACGGCTGGCCATCAGCCATTGTGTTCAGCCACATTTAACGTATTCACATGCTATAATGCATTTGTGTGTTCGTAGTTCTGCAGGGGAATGAAAACTAAATTGAAATCCCTGCTAAATTTTGACTGAATCCACCAGTTGTACATAACCCTGCTGCTGTACTTCTGTACTTCTGTCCCTGGAACAGTGCAAAAGCAAGTGGCAAAATCCTCCTTTTGCCTCCAGTTTCATTGCTCCTGGGTGGAAGGACTGGACTCATGCTCTCCAGGCTGCGTCCATCTCCTGGCCACTCTTGAACTGTTTTCATCCTCATACTGCTCACCTTGTCTCTTCCACATGGCCCCAGCAGCGAGGCGGGCACGAGGCGGGCACATGACCATCATCGTACCCTGTCTCGTCCCCACCCAAAGTGTGACATCAGCAAGGGAGGTTCTGAAGTAGGAGGTGGTAGTTGTGGGACCCCATGTGAGCCCTGACCATGGTAAAGATGTGCATGTGGGAAGTGCTAAAAAATTTTGTCACATGCTGGAAACAACTCTGTACCGCATACTAGCTTTTTCAATTTCTCCAGATAAAGCCACACAGGCAAATCCCATGCATTTCCTGGGTGGGCATCATGGGGCTGGGGCAATACAAGGTGGTGAGGCTCTGCAGCACTTTGTAGCAATGCAGAAGCTTTCACATGGGTGCAAATTTGGGAGGAAGATGCAGAAAAAAAACTCTTTATTTTTGCAAAAGTCCCTTAGGCGAGGGGAGGCAAGTCAGACACAGGCAGGCTGGGGAGTGCTGGAGTGCCAGGATTGGTGGGATGGGGTTGGGGGGGCATGTGACAGCGCTGTCTCAGATCTGGGTGCGGAAGTGCAGGTCAGTGCCCGACATCTTCTGCATGTAGTCCTGGTCGAAGCGCTCGCTCTGGGCCACGGTGAAGTGGTTCTTCCAGTCTCCAGCAATGCCTAGGACCGAGTGAGATGAGGCTCAGGAGGGACCATGGGGGATTATGCACTGGGAGCCCCCCTGGGCTGCTCACCTTTGCGCATGAAGGGGGAAACAGCCTGGTCCATGAAATGGGAGGGCACCATGCTGTAGTTGGTGGTGGGGTTGTCCCGCATGGCCTCAAAGGAGGTGTGTCGGGTGATGGCATCCAGTGCTGCCTCTGGCAGCTCCCGCCCCAGGAACTGGGCCACCTTGGCAACTTCCCGGCAAAGGTCCTGTGGGACACAGGCCAATGCTCACCCCTCCTACCAACCCCCCCCCAGACCCCACACCACCATCCATCCCAGTCCTCACCTCCTTCAAGTCCTCATAGAAGAGGTAGAGGATGGGGTGATCCTTCCTCCTCTCCCAGTAGTCCTTGACATGGTCGTACCAGGAGCCATATGCCACTGTGTGGAGTAAGCAGCCAGGAGGTGTCAGTGGGAGGGCTGGAGAAGGGATATGGGGTGACCCCCCTCCAGGGGTGCCCTGCCCCACCTCTGCCAGCCATGAACTCCTCCAGGTACTGGGCCCACGTGCCAGGGTGCTGCTGGAACTTGTTCATCAGGTCAAAGTGGTAGAAGGAGACGGCCACGTCCTTGGCATTGCGCCCCACGTACACCATCTGCAGAGGGGCCATGGGGTACAAGGGGCAGCCCCAGGACCCCCAACAGGGTGGATGCTCCAGCCCCTAGGGCTCCTGACAGTACTTAGGATGCATTGAGGGAGTCCTGCCCTTAGGGAGCTGGGGGACTACTATGCCCCCCAGGTCAGAGATCAGAGGGTGTTACCTTGCAACGGTTTTCCCAGAAGGATTTGGGCAGGATATGTGCAGGCAGGTGGGTCTTCACCACGCGGGGTGAGGGCATGGTGGCCAGCAAGTCTGTCCCTGGGGCACCCCAAAGCATGTCCCCAGTGGGTCCTTGGCAGATTTCCCTTGGGGTCAGCCCCCAGTGGGGTGCCTGTCACCAAGCCCCCACATCCCACTACCTGCTGACATCTCCCCGGGGGCACAGAACTCCAGCATGGGCACCCTGTTGGAGATAATGTCCCGCTTGCACTTCTCGGGGTCACCGCCTTGCAGGATCATGTCCACGATCTCACTGACCCAGGTGGTGCCTGGTGAGGAGAGGTTGGGCATCTGGTTGTCACCATTCCCACCAAAACCCCAATCTCAGGCAGCAGAGGGGCAGCATCCACTGGCATTGCCTTTTGGCATCCCCCCAAGGGCTGCAGGCTGGTGCCCCCCTTCCGAAGCACAGCCCCTCTCCGGTGCCTGGGGACACTCACCAGACTTGGGGAATGTGACCACCACAATGTCCTCGGGGCGGCTCTGGAAGGTGTCGACCCGCTCCCAGTCGTGGGCAAAGGCGTTGACCATGGGGATGCCGTGCACCATGCGCCAGGGCTGCCGCAGGTAGGTGTCCGGATCGGCCATCCTGCTGGGCACAGGCATGCCTGGGGGCTGGCTGGCAGCTGGGAGCATTATGTGGCCACCTCATCCCCTGGGGTCCCCAAAATCTCTGTTGATCCCAACCATCCCAGCCACAGGAAGAAAACAGTCCCCTGCTTGCTGGCATCCCAGAAGGTAGCACCTGCCTCCTGAAGGGATTTTGGGGGCCAGTGGTAGTGCAGAGAGTGTGAAGGGGCATGGCCGGCCCTGGGGGTTGCTCAGGTCAGCCCAAGCTGGCAGTGTTGTTCCTGGGGTGTAAAAACTCACAGGGGCTTTTCTGGCTGGGGTTTCAGCTACTTTCTGCCTCCTGCTCCACTTCAGCTTTTTTTTCCCTGGTTCTCTGTTGCATGGGGGCATGGGTAAGGCTTGCATGGGGTGGTCTACCTCAGGGTTTGAAGGAAGCAGGAATGGGGAGTGAGGCTTGCAGGACTCTCCCCAGAAAACCTTTCCACCCATTGGCCAGGATGGAAATGCTGGAGATGCCAGCGGCAAAACACCCACACTGTGATTTTTGGAGTGCGGCTTTGTGGCTCGCCTTTGTCTTCCTGGGGCTTCTGGGGACCACAAGCCCCTCTGAGCCCCCCCCACAGGCCCTCCACTTGTAAGGCCAGGGTGAGCCTTACCCAAACAGGCAGAGCCCCTCGACCTTGGCCAGGGTCTCCCAGCCTCTTCATCAGGCACTCTAGCAGGGAGGAGGCAAAACTTTGCCTGCAGCTTGGCGGGAGACAGGCTGCTATTTTATCTTCCCCGCAAGGAAGATGGAGGCATGGGGGAGCTGCCTGGGGCTGCTGGAGGCTGGGGGACATCATTAGGGAAGGAACGTGGTGTGATCTGGTCCCGGTGCTGCAGAGGAGGAGTGTAGGGAAGGAGCGAGCAGGGATAGGGGCACAGCCCCCCAACCTGGGGATGCTCTCCAGATGCCTGTGATAAGCTGTGCTGTGCTCAGCACCCACCCAGTAAACACCAAGATGGAGGGGGGGTGGAAATCACAGCTTCCCCCTCCACCCGCAGAGGCAAACAGGGAGGAAATCCCAACCCACGTCCCAGGGGGTTTGAACATCACCTCGTCCTGACGCAGGGGTGACCCCCGTGAACGTTCCCAGCTGCTTGCACTGGCGCGGGGATCGCTATCGGGATGTGGGCGTCAGCTTTGGTCACTCCCCCCCACAAAGCACTCAGATACGGGTCCAAAGTTTGCAGGGTTGCAAAGCACGAGTGCAGCTGATCTCATGTTTCCGGGAAAAGGGTTTAAAGGTGCCCACGGTATCGAAATGCTCCTCCTTACCTGCTTCTCATAGGCAAACGCAAGCTGGGAGGGAGCTGGGAGGGCAGGAGAGATGGCAGCCAGGCAAGGGAAGAAGCTTGCCTGTTTGCAGCCTTGAGAAAAACATCCCTTATTCGTCTCAAGGGCCAAGTTCCTGGTGAGGCGGGACACACCATCAGTTGTTCGGGTGTTACACAGGAAGGGACATGACCTCCCTGCCAGTCTGTCTGTCCATACACAAGCAAAATTGGCTGTGTGTTGCAGGCAAACCCTGCAGGCAAAGCCAGGAGCCGGGGAAGTGCAGAGATCTCTATTAGCATTTAAATAAATGTGTGAAAAGGATATATTCCTCCCCTCAAAGTGCTGCAGCTCTTTAGGAGTGGGATCCAAGTTGCATCTCTTTGGAGATGAAACAACTCCATGAGACTGCCTTGCCAAATAGCTGCAGTCTTGGAAAACTCAGGAACAGGCTGGAAACAGGGCGAAACTAGGGGATCTGGGCCTCCAAAGCAAACGCCCCCAGTGGGACGGGACTGGTTTTGCTCCAGCCATCCCCAAGCACAGGCTCCACACAGCCAGGTGGTAGGTTGCAGGGTGGGCTCCCCATCCAGCAAGGACAGCAATGTTGCCAAGCACAGGCAGGGAGGTGTTTCCTTTCACCTTTGCTCCGCAAACTGCAGGCTGATGAGCTCTGGCTGGGCTGGAGAAGCCAGGGTGAGCCCCGCCACCACCCACTTTGTCAAGAAACTTTCCACAACCCAGAGGCGTGAAAGCTCCTGTGCACGCGAGACCTGCAGGGGCAGCGGGTTCACCAGTGCTTTGGGGTTTTTCCACTCTTCACGAATCTTTGCTCCCTCCTGACACCTTGGTGACATGGGGTTGGGGTAGCCCAAGGTGTCAGGGCCGGTAGTGGTTTTAGGGAGGATGCCTGCCCCCAGTGATGCCTGACAGTCACCGGCCAGAAATCCACAACATGTGCCCATCATCTCGCCCTCTGAGCATGGGGGTGCCCCCAGCTGCTGCCCAGGATTTGGGGGATTCACCCCCCACACCTTTCCCCACAGACAATGGCTCACCCTCTGGTTATCCAAATTTATTACAGGGGGGAAAAGTGAATCAGCACAAGGATGCTTTGTCCAGATCTATCCTCCTCAGTGGAAGAGCAGGGAGAAGCAGAGCACCCCCCAAGAAGAGGGATGAGCCCCTCACACCTCCATCTGGAAGTGGAGGTCAGAGCCCTCCATGTGTTCCCGATAGTGCCGGTCGAAGCGCTCATTCTGGGCCACAGTGAAGTGGTTCTTCCAGTCCCCGGAGATCCCTGGGGGCAAGAAAGCAAGTGGGGAAGATCCTGACACCTCTGAAATATTTGCGGCCACAGATGGGGGCTGCAATACAGCCCAGGGACACCCCTCCCAAGCCCTCTGCTGCTGGCCAAACCCCACCTTTCCGGAGGAAGGGGGAGAGGCTGTGGTCCATGAAGGCAGTGGGCATGGTCTCGTAGTTGGCAGCAGGGTTCTTCTTCATCTCCTGGAAGGAGGTGTGGTGGAGGATCCTCGACACTGTCCCTTCCGCCACCTCCTTGCCCAGGAACCTCAGGATCTTCTGCACCTCCCGCTGCGGGTCCTGTGGGGTGGCTGACATGGGGTGGCCACCAAAAAGGCTGGGGGGGG